GTGTGTGTGTGTGTGTGTGTGTGTGTGTGTGTGTGTGTGTGTGTGTGAGTGTGTGTGTGTGTGAGAGAGAGAGAGAGAGAGAGAGAGACACAGAGGGAGACTTCTTATTCTTAAATGAATACTTTGGTCAGTCCCTCCGGTGCCTGTAGAGGTTGGATTTTTCAGCTCTCTGTACTATAGCCGAAGTGATTAGTTACCGGAAGTGTGGCCTCTAAAGTGGCCAGCTGTCAGAACCAAGACATGCTGTGCTACTTCATTTCCTGCCTGTGGAGCAAAGCAGGGGGCTGGCCGGGACGCAGTTGGGAGAACTTCAGGCTTTGGCTCTCACAGCAGTCTGTTAAAAACATGCTGGAAGAAGAATTAAGGTGTGTATGTCTAGTGTGACTAAGCTATGCAGAAATGTTGTTTTACCGTGTTAGTGTACATCTGCTATGCTTACTCCTGCACTGTTCAGATTATTTGAGAGACCGCGTTTAGCACAGGACTGGATTTCTTCTCTGAGCTGTGTTAACATTTCTTCATAGAATCTGGTGATGAAGATGCCAAATATGCAATAATGTACGACGCTAGATGGAACAGTAGATGTGTCAGCCTTATTATGTTTTGTGTATTTCATGGGTGAGACTTTGAAATCGCCTTGTAAACATCCTTAGGACCCAACCGCATGTGTTCCAAGGTGCAGTGCACTGTGAATCTTTTTAAGTCTAAGTTTGTAGGTGCTTTTATGTGTAACTTCAGTGGTTTGAAGAATGTTAAATAACTTTGTCCTTAACCATTTTACTCCAAGAGACAAAGAATACAGTTTACATGCTTTCTGTAAGTTTTGTTTAGAAATAGTGAATGAATGACTCTAGTATTTGAAACAGTGATTCCGTCCTGAGACATGAGGGACCTGAAAAACCTAGTAGACCTGGTAACATGGGTGAAATTGATTAAACATGTTGAAAGATCTAACTAGCTTTTTGTACCAGTACACACACAAAAAAAATGGTCTCCCAGCACTGTCAGGAATTGTGGTCACTACTTGCTGTTTTGACCTTTGAATATCATTATTTTTATATTAAATATTAATTAGTAATTACATATTATGGAGCTATATAGCAGATTACTATTATGCTGTAAGACTTGGCTGTGCTATTTCTTTTGGCGGTTCTAGTAATTTACATGTATTGTCAATAAAAAACTGCAGATCTTAGAAAATGGCTATAGGAATCCAGTTCCTTTATCGAACACCGTGTTTTCTAAAAATGTCAAGAACTGGTACCTGTGTGCATTAAAAATGTTTTGTCACCAAGTCCTTCACCTAGCAGTTTGTTCTTCTAACATTAGTTAAATAATAAGAAGAGAGAGGGGACCTAGACATGCTCATTTGCTGGGCATGTCTTCTTCCTGTGATCACCGTGGCCTTCCCTAGCTGTGAACCTCCTTCCTTGGGGACTTTAATGTCAACAGTTATATCTGTGTTCTCGGAGGCAGTATTTTCTTTCTGTTATCAATTGTGTTGTATTCATTAACACTTCTTTCTCCTGATTTTAAGTTGGATGATTGTGTAGCCTGAGAGAAGTGCAGATGTTTTGTGACTTGAAGTGACCCTCAGCAAAGGAGACCACAGACCACTATTGTGTCTAAAGGTATTATCACCTCTGAAGCTGGGTCAGAGTGGTGTCTGAACACTATAAAATACATTTGTATGGTTTCCTAAAAATCCAGAAATGTCCTCCACATCTTTCTCTCTATATATAGAATTGGGTTATTCCGGAAGCCTGTGTCAGAAGGTAGCAGATTGAGAGCAGCAGTCTGTGATTTGTCATTAAGTAGGCTGCCGTTTCCCACAGTTGCTCTGCAGAGCTCAAAGAGGAAACTACTGAGCATCGCTAGCAGTTGAGTGTTCTCATGATATTCCAGGTGAGAAGTGTGGCCGGGGCCCAGCCCGAACAGTCAAAAAAGTACAGACCTTCCCAGACATTTTCTACTCCTCAGTCAAGTGTTGTTTGTAAGCATGATTGCCAAGCAATCCATTGATTCTAATGTAATTTTTCTCACTTTAAGGACTAGTGTTTGGGTCCTTTCTGTTGATTCTACAGAGCTGCAGGCATTCTGGATTTAATTTTAATTTTTTTATTACTTTAACTTTTTAATGTATTCTAATGTGTTTTGTCTGTGTATGTATGTGTACCACACATGTGCCTGGTGCCCAAGGAGGGCAGAAAAAGAGTGTCGGATCCTCCTGGAACCGGAGTTGCCGTGTTGTTGGAAATTTGATAACAAGATAGTCCAGAGTGTGGCACAGTCACCGCATGTGGGTGTGCTGCCGCAGTTTCCTGTGACAAACAGCCATCCTTGCTGAGGTACTTCATCGCCGAGGGAAGTTGAAGCCTCAGTCTACTCATGCATAGAACTGGCTGTAGAGGCATTTCTATTAACTTGGTGCTCAGGGGGCTTTTGTTTGTGTGGGTTTCTCGTGTACTTCGTACTTGGTTAAAGCTGGCATCGGCTGGCCATGGATGGCTTGGTGAGTTGCAGTCATGCTCTGGAGCATGAGCAGTGGTGTACCTGGACACGAGGCGTCCTGCAGGAATACGCAGTTCACTGCTGTCATGAAGCACATTCTGGTTTGTTTGAATGTTGGACAAGTATCTATCAAATGTCAAATACTAGTATCCAAGGGAGTGAGCCCTTCGTTTCTGCATTTTGTTTCAAATGAGGACAGTAGACAGCTAAGTTCCATTGTATAAATTTTAATTTTTTTTTTAGTTTAACAAATAGGAAAGAATAGCAAAACCCTTAACTTTGCTTTAACTTTTAAAAACTTTTTTTATACTTGCCAGTTAGTTTTAAATCTTATGATAGTTTTAAAATGAATATTGACTTACTAGACCTATTTCTGTTGACTTCAATGAAACCATAATGAATCTTCATGTACTTAGCTATTTTAAGTGATTTTTCTCTAAATTAAGATGGTCCTAAATCAAGCCAGGCATGGTGGTGCATACTTGTAATCCCAGCACTTGTGAGGCAAAGGCCACCCTGGTCTACAAATCAAGTTCCAGAACAGCCAGGGCTATTAAAAAAAAAAAAACCCTGTCTCAAAAATAAATCAATAAATACAAGATAATCTTAATCTAACAAAAATGACGTACACAGTTTAGTTTGAGTTCAAAGGTGAATCCTAGTTTGTAGCTTTAGCACTGTTTATACTATGTTGTGAAGACCTGGTGTTCCTGGCCAGTGCGGGCTCGGGACAGTCTGCTGTGTGTGAGTTTGTCTGGAAAGAGTAAATGACATGCTGGGTCATGGAAGCTGCAGAAGCTGGCACACAAGCTTTCCTTCATTAAGGGTGTAATGTTCAGATTTAACATTTAATCTTTGCCTGACTTACAACTGTGTTTTATTGCTTGATATTAGGGTGTTTTCATACTTGGGAAAAGATGGTGTAAACTCTTTACATGATTATGTTTGTGGTAGTATGGAAGTTATTTTGTGGTTAATAGTCACACATTTAGGGAAACCAAAAAGGAACCCCTCAAGTAGCCTGCTGGGTCACTGCCTTGCTGTGACTGTCATCCAGTGACTGGGGTCTGTGAAGTAGGGAGTCTGGAGCACCGCACTTCCAGAGACATGGGTACTGGCGCACGTGTTCTCCGCCGAGAAGTGCAGTGCTGCGTTTAACGGTGAGTATGTAATCCACACTATCTTTACAATGATGCAAGGTTGCTCACTTTGGCTTTCTGTAAGATGTGTTAGATTTGGTCTAATTCTGACTATTTATAATACATTACCAATAAAATTGGCTCCGTTTTGGTTGCTATTTACCATTGGTTCTGCTCCTGTTATTCATTACTGTAATTTTAAGGCATGACTATGCTACTCTTGGCTGCCTTCTTTCTGGACCAAAAAAGTTATGAAGTTCTGTTTGCATATAGAAATTGAAAATGTAGAATCCAGTCAGAAATGAAAGTGGACAGTGGGATGTCTTATCTTCATTCACAGTCTGACTTTTAACGGTATAAACAAACACGGAAAATGCAGTAATTCTTAAACTTAGGTAAGAACCAAGGCTTTCCACCAGAATGTCCTGATGTCCTTAGGTCTCAGGCAGGAGAAATACATTGATTATTTTCGAGTTTTCAGCTATGTAACTGTTGTTATCAAAAGTTCTTTCCATGTAGCAAAGTAGGTGTTTTAGCACTTCTGATATGCTAGGAAACTGCTATTTTATAATTTACGTTTGATGTCCTGATTTATTTTTTTAAAAGATCATTCAATAGAGAGCTTCCTGTTCATGCTGTTTGTGAAGGCAGCCAAATAAAAATTGATGATAAATGAGAATTTTGTTGTTCTTCTTTTGTTGTTCTTCTTTTGATCTGAAATAGCTTTACATTGAGTCCCTGTTTTCATCAGGGCCCCTGAATCAGTGTAAGCAATCTTTGGTTTGTATTTACAGGTATGACTGGAAAATACCCCTACAGAATGTCTTTACTCTTTAATTCAAACAAAGGACAGCATGGAATTAGAAATATTTATTCAGAATATAAGAACGTTTGTAAAATATTATAAATGTCTCTGTATAAATAAATGGAGTTTTTTTTTAAACAATTCTATATCAAATAACACAAAGTAGCTATTTTACAGCAGCTAAAACTAAAGGCATCTGGAAACATTTAAAGCTACAAGTGAGCCTAAAAAATTACAAGGTATAGTACAGTGTTTAGTAGCCACTTCCGAATGAAACTTCCGGCACAAGCAGAATAGGCCTAACAGATGCAAACAGTCACATGTGCTTTAACAGCAGTACTTTCAAGTGGTATAAAAACACATTTTCAATTAATAAAAAAGTTCAGTTTCATGCAAAGTAAGTTTATAATATGTCTAAAAGCAGATTAGAAACAGAAGTGAACACTTTTGTAGTTTTTTGCATCAGGTCCTGACAAAGTTTGGCTCTCAGGGCTCTTAAGGGGGGGTGTCCTGACCGGAGCATTGCAAAGGAACGCTACAGACTCGACAAACAATATTTTCCAAAAGGTGAACAATAGAACAGAAACATTATCTAACCAGAGCGTCTGTATGGGTGTGGAGTTTTCTACAGAACTTAGGATGAGCAGGCCTGGTCAGTAATTATCAGATGAGAGGTTGGGAAGATCAAATGCTAGCTCCTGGGTGTTATCATTGATTCTGGGACCTAGCTTTTTTTATTTTTAAACATTTGTGAGATATCAGATGATGTGTTATTATTATACTAGATGACCAAAATTGTAGCACTTGCCTATATATGAAAATGTCCTCCTCTGTAAAGAGTGCTCAGGTATGCCAGGGTCACAGCATCTCAGGTCAGATAGACTATTGGCAGGAGTGCAAAGGTGTTTAGAAAATAAAGCTAAGTGAAATAGGAGGCCACAGGTTCAGAGACTTCAACCTGATCTATGTATAAACACGGGTTCATTTGTGCACACATCTCAAAGGTAGAGATGTTTTTATGGCAAGCCATGCCTGCTCTACAGAATTTGCAAGCTGTTCTATTGCTGAACACAAAATTAATTGCTGATTTTTTTCCCACAAGTTAGATCTTGTTCTAGAAGCTACAGTGTAAAATAGAAAGAAAATACTAATGCTACTTAAGCTTTTGTACCCTGCTCCCTCCCTAGGACCATTTCTGAGGGCAGAAATTCTAGCTAACAGTGAGTTTGTTCTCTGTTGGCCTCTAAAAAAATAAGTGTAATTCAGTAGTTGACACTGTACGCTGAGGGAACACTGGTGTTGTTTGCTTGTTTTACTTAGGGCACTGTGTTCGTATGATGACTGGGACATACTCTGAGTTAAACATTCATAATTGAAAGCATTTATGGGAGGAAGTGTTTTGACAAATAGTGGGGGTTTTGTTACTATTTTGATGCTTTTCTCTGCCTTTCACTTAAAACATGAAGTGATAACCCGGACTCCTGGTAGCTCTGAAGTAGTTCACACAACTTAAATCATTGCATATAGTTTTTTGATGTGGGGGGGCACAGTGCATAGGGGGATACAGAAATACAGAAGCCTGGTGGTTCTCAGTTCGTGCCAGTGCTACAGGCATTCCAGCCCTGCAGCAAACTAAGATATTTCCCCCTTCCCATGTTCAGGTAATGTCTGTAGGAATTAGAAGACATCCAGTAGTCTGTTTCCCTCACGGTGGTAAGGTTACTCAGCCCCTTAACACGTTTTGGGATAAATAAAACCTATGGCTGTGGCTTGAACTGTTTTTTTATAGAACCATGCCAAAGCTCCCTTTCAGAGTTTTCCAAAGCCCTTGCAAAGTTCGCTACAGCTCAGGAAGACCTTGTAAGTACACACATTTGAAAGGAGGACTAAGCACCTTGGCTAGCAAAACCTAAAGTGTCAGGCTACACACACATATTAGGAAATGTGCCACGTCAGCAGATGGGCATGGGTCACGTGACATTCACTTAGACCTTGAGTATGTATGATACAGAGCTAAGGATAAAATGGACCTCAGCTGTCTGATTGTCTGTCCCATGACAGTCTTAACTGTGAGTCCACTGTAGACTCTTCATGTCACAGGGCAAGTGTGGCTGGTGCACATGAGGCCACAGCTGCAGACCAGAGTCAGCTATGGATGGATGTTGTCTCCTAGGACTGCTGCCCTACTTGGGTTTGTCTGCCTCGGCTCAGAATGGGGAGTATAGATCAAAGTAACCTTCAAGTGGTTCCTCATGGACCTGTGTGCTCTGCTTATTTTCTTATGAGCCAAAATTGGCTTTAGCAAAAGTGACTGCCTAAAGAGAGAGACCACTAAAGACTTTGGGTGCTGGTGGTGGCGTTTCAAAAATAAGAAATTCTGAAGGCTTTACGCCTCATAGAAATTAAAATAAAGATAATTTTGTTCACCATAATAACATGTTAATGGAAACCATTTCCTATTTAAAAGTAGGTTTGGAAGAGCCAGGTTAAACAAAAAGAAAAATTACTCAGGCACCTGCTGTCGTGTATTTAATCAGTGCAACAATTCACACAATCAGATGTCTGCTGCTTCAACCCTCAAAGATTGAAAATTACAAGGAAAAGATTGCATAACCCTATACCACTTATTTAAAAATGTGGCATTTTAGCCTGGCACATGGTTTTTATAAGTCACCATATATTTATTTACTTGGAAACTCGGACTAAGGCCTGGTAGGATTGTTGCTTTGGGTCTTTTTCTGTGGAGGAACTATAGACCTAGAAGCCTAGGTTCTCAGCAGGCCGACTAGCATCCCTGCTTCAGCTTCCCCTTCCAGTTAAGCATCCTGATTGTGATTCATCAGAGTAGCAAATGCTGTTCCCTGCATCTAGGTGGACAGAACAGGAAGCCCGGCAATCATCCCTTACCTGGAATGTGGTGTCTCAGTCAGGACAGCCGCGCCCAGCCCAGTTTGCCTGCTTGGGGGCAGGCAGTTCCTGAAGATGGCTGAGAAACTGACTGCGGTGCTGGGGGGGGGGGGGGGCCAGTAGATGTTACACCTTTACCTCAGGAGTGAACACTGAGAAAATGGGGCACAGGTACTGACAAAAGACTAGAACGCCATCAACACTCAAGAGCTAGGCCTTGACTCAAACCAGTCACATGTCTGTCTGAAGGATGAATAGAGCTTGGCACTAGTCTGAGAACGAAGGGCTGTCGAGCTTTGGGGGCTAGCCACTGTGGAAGGCCCGAGCATCTTTCCCTTGTGCCCAGAAGGCTGAGAAACTTAGCTGGAGTCTGCAGCACCACCAAGGTCATAGGCTCAGCGTCTTCCATCTCGTTCACCCAGAGTAGAACCCATTTCCCGTAACAGTTGGGTAGCATATTGGGGGCTACAGGTGAAAAAGAGCCAAGCTGTTCTTTAATTGTGCCCATAAATACCTGAACAGCAGAAGGTAAAATGGTGAAGGCTACAGCAGAAAACAGGACTCAAGGATGCCTCCCTAGAGGAGTGTAGGTACGTAGGTCGTGTCTCCCAGCCACCATTTTGTTTGAGATCACCGCATCTAGAGGGGACAGAATAGGAAGCCTCTCAGCCATTCCTTTGCCCAATCCCCTTCATGATGTTGGGGACTGAAGGTTCAGTGGCACTCTATTAAATAGGTAGGAACCATCTTGTACAACATTAAGGGTCTCCTCAGTGTCCAACAGTGCACAGCCTCTTGCCCTTAGAGAGTCAGGTACTCTAGTAGCCAGGTTTTGATTCAGAATAGGAACTGCAGTGCCCTGGGACTGGGAAAGAACTAATAGAGCTTTCTTCTCTGCCCTGGAAGAAACCCCTGGTAAAATCTTGGCTTCACTACATACGTCAAGCGTATTAGACAAGAATTAAAACAGCTTCAATCCCAGCCTTTGCTGTAAAATAAAAAGAGCTGGTTTTTGTCCAGTGCAGAACTATCTACACACAGCCTTGACAATGCTCTATTTGAAACTGGTGTGTCTGGGATGACCAGTGACGCTGTGCCATCCTATGATCTGTCACTCCCAACTAACCCCTCTATTTGATTGTATCTCAGGAATCTGGTGCCCTAGGACCTGGAAGCCAGAGCCTTGCTGTGATGGACTGCCAGTCCTAGATGCTGGAGACACACAAAACACTTGTCACCTTCCCCTTGGAGGAGGAAGTTGAAAAAAAAAAAAAGTCTATGAAAAGCAAAAAATAAAAATAAAAGTTAAAAAAAAAAAAAGGCTCAGGAATCCACATAAACCGAAACGCTACAGAGCAAGTGAGAACTTGAGCGGTAAGAACAGAAACGACATGGCAATGCACTTAGCTGGAGCCATTGCCGATGCCCTTTGTGGCCAGTCCTGGAGCATCGGGAGCCTGTGCATCCATAATCCACAGTGCCATCCTGACCACTCAGGCCAGGAGTGGAGCCCGTGACCTCGATGCAGTGTTCCCCTTCCTTGGGCCCTTTCTCTGCAGAGGACTTCGGAGCTGCTGGAGTTTTTGCCCCATGGGGCAGGACTTCAGGGCCTGATTGCCTGTTAAAGCGAGGTTTCGTTGGTGTGTGGCCTGGAATTCTCTTCCTCCAGCAGAGCTATTCTTTGCTTGAGCATTCTCACTTGGGTCTCGTGGCGCTCCACCATAGCCATCATCTGAGATTCCAACTTCTTCAGCTTGTTCTGATGCTTCTTCTTTGCTTTCTCATAGGCAGCCACCAGGTTACTGTGTGGGAACAGAGGAAAGTGAGTAGATTCATACTAAGAGATGAGTGTCACCCTGTCCCGTGTGGCGCTGGGCAACACAACGTCCTCTTCCGTAGGGATCTAAAGTTCAGAGATTAGAAACTGCACAGTACTGGAATTCTGGCGTAGGCATACTAATCGAGGCCCAGGCTGTATGCTGTGTTAGCCTAGAGGGGCAGACCAGCAGCCCAAACTGGCCACGTCCAAAACAGGTCAGAATGAGGTTGCTGAACTCTAGAAAATCAAATAAAGACACTAGGTACTTGTTTCATGGTTGACAACTATAGGATCAAGTATAAGTGACAGAAAGTGTTCTCTCACCCAGGAGAGGGGCAGCAACTTTGCGGTGCTTTGGACTGTACGTAATACTGTCCACTAAAGAACACAGGTCTGTGAACTGGCCCTGGACCGCTGCCCGTTGTAGCAAGACTGAAAACAAGTCCAAGTGTCTCTACATAGTCTCTCTGCTCCAAAATAGAACATAAGCTCCCTTCAGGTGCATTGTGTTACCCCAGCTGGAGTCCCTAAAGTGTGACTTGAGGACACACACACACATACACACTTTTGGGACCCTAAAACTCTTGATGGCAAAGCAGACTGAAATCCAGGTGACCTATTATGGTAGGCATTTTTACAAAATTAAAATGTGTCATTCTAATTACAATTTGGAAAGTAGTTTTCATAAAAGTATGGTATCTACTAAGCTTGAATTTTGCAAATGAATACTTTTAAAAGTCTGTCTCAGTTTTAGTTCCTGACATACTAAGTATCAATAGATATCTTACAGGCACAAAGGTTCTAAAGTCCTCATTTTTAAAAATATATAAAGATAATGTAGGGCCGGGCGGTGGTGGCGCACGCCTTTAATCCCAGCACTTGGGAGGCAGAGGCAGGCGGATCTAGGTGAGTTCGAGGCCAGCCTGGTCTACAAGAGCTAGTTCCAGGACAGGCTCCAAAACCACAGAGAAACCCTGTCTCGAAAAACCAAAAAAAAAAAAAAAAAAAGATAATGTACCCCAAAGGTTTGAGACTCTTAACTCAGAGTCTAGAGTACCTTAAACTATTACTCTGGATGAGGTATTGTTCTAATAGACGGTTCGATTGCCAACTGAAAACACTGGCTCAAACACAGATTTTTTTTTTTTTTGCCTGAATTCTCAGAATCTTTATTATAGAAAGCATCAAGAAAAAAACCACAACAGACTTCATTTTCCTAAGCCCATCTCATCAGAAATGGTGTACTCCTTTACTTCCCTGGTTTCTGGTCAGCTTTATTGCAGACCCTGTGTTCACTTCCCAGGAGACACAGGAAAAGATCTCTGGTTCCCAAGAGAGGTTGTTTGTTTGTTGTTTTGTTTTGCTTTTACCTGTTGGCCCGCTTCAGATCATTAACAAACTCTGCTGACTGCTGGTGTCTGATCTCACTGCTTTTGGTGAGTCTCTCCAAGGCGCTGACCAGCTCTTGAACTCTGGCCTTCAGTTTCTTCTCCCTGTATCAGAGAGATAGCAGCATCAGTAGGCAGCCGTGACGGAGGGAAGGAGATGGGAGAGCTGGCCAATGTATCAGAGCGTGTGGCCAGCACAGAATTGCCCCTCTAGGACCACTCAGACATCTCCACAAGGGAGAAGAAGTATGGACATCAGGAAACTACGTCACTTATTTGAAGATACAAAAATCGGCCACACCTCAAACTTGGGCTCTTTTGGCTGTTATGAGAAGGACGGACCTACAGTAAGAGTGAGGGTGTAGATCAATTGCCAGGATCGCAACAATGCCCTGCTGAAGTAACTGAATCTAGTGTGGAAGCCAAGAGATGCCATGTAAGTGTAAAATGGATACTACAGTTGGAAACCTCAATAATAATAAGGTTAAATATCTCAATTTTTAAAACCCTGACAACATGCCAAAATATTGCTATAGTGAATTAAATATAATAGTGCAATTCAGTCATATTTAAGGGAACAATGCTAGGAATTGAACCTTGGGCAAGTATCTACCTTGAGTGGTGTCTACACTCTGTGCTGTTAAAATTAATTTCACATGTTTTGCATCTTGAATGGAATCTAGGAAATGTAAAATGATGTATGTGACTTGTAGCTCAGACGATGGTAGGAAAAGAATTACGGGGACATTAGAAGGAAAGGAACCCCTCACCCAACTGCTTGAAGCCTCTTGTTGATGAATCAAGAACTCAGCTCCGCACTTCTCCCCCTTCCCAGCCGCAGACAAGGAAAGAACATTTACCAACCCCTTGTGCAGACCGAGTGCCTGTTTCTCATTATCAGCCTGTAAAGTAGCTGGAGTCACCCTATCACTTGTCGAAGTGATAAATGGGAGTGGGGCGGATTTCTCTCAAATCCGACTTGAGAGACCCGGACTCCTCTGCCCCACACCCGTGAGCGTGTCTGGTGCTCTGCTGCTCGTCCTTGTCCGTGATGAGCACGCCCTAAACCTGGCTATGCCTTTCTGTCTAGGTGCAGGTAGAGGTAGTTTGGAGAAGGTTCTGAAATTCCGCTGCATGGCAGCCAGTCCTGAGATTCCTGGGCCAAAGCCCAGGTCCCTCGGAAACTAAGGGGACTTCTCTAGCTCTTTTCCCACTCACAGAATGACTTGGAAAATCTAAGAGTCCACTTGCCTGTCAGTCATTTTGAACTCCCCACGTCTAATGCCCTGTTCCTTCCAGTTTCCAACTTAATGTGCTTGGCTATGAGAAAGGGAAGAATTTACGTGGTTTCTGTATGTAGAACAGAATGCCAATGCAAGCATTTTCTTTGGCTTCACACATGAGAAAATTAAATACAAATTACTGCCTCAGTACGGATGCGTTCACAGTGTTCTGGGGATTACCTGGAATTGCAGTCTCTTGGGTTTTGTTTTTTTAAAAAAAAAATATATATATATATATATTTATTTATTATCTGTCTGTGTATATGCCTGCAGGCCAGAAGAGGGCACCAGACCTCATTACAGATGGTTGTGAGCCACCATGTGGTTGCTGGGAATTGAACTCAGGACTTTTGGAGGAGCAGGCAATGCTCTTAACCACTGAGCCATCTCTCCAGCCCTCTCTTGGGGTTTTTGTTTTATTTTCTTTTGCTGTGAATACCATCAGGTAAAAACAGAATAAACTATATGTGGAATAGGACTCAAAGACCAACTGTCCAGTTCAGGTTTATGTTATGGGTCTTCCCATTCCAGTATTTAGCACCCTCATCCAAAAATGGAGTCTTTATGGTCATAAAAGGTGGTGTCTTAACACAGAGGAGGTGGTTCGGTGTGTGTTGTCACAGTTTCAAGCAGTGGAGTCTCCACAAAGTATTTATGAGGTGGGGTTATCAGTACTAAGGAAAGCCAAGTCAGCCGGCCGTAGGATGGGGGAGGGGCTGGTAAGCAGGCCCCTGGGGTAAGACTTGCCCAGGGACTGACTGCAATTCTACACAAGCAGGAGAACTGAGTGTCCTCTAAGAAGGCCAGGAGAAGTGATTTGTGTCTCAGCTAAGTCTCAGGTGAGCATGTATCAAGTCCTGTGGAGGTCCTGAGTGGCTTGACAGCAGGCCACTGACCATTCACAAGAACTGAATCCAGATCAAACAGCAAGGAGTCAGAGCCGTGCACCTACAGGCTGGGTTCCTCCGGGAATTGTCTACTCAGGTCACTCCTGTCTTCCTCGCCTGCCAAGCACTCATCCCAATCAGCACTCCACTCCACAGAAATGACTTGCCAAGCCAGTACAACAGTCAGTGCCCTGACTGTATCCTCCTGTATCGTGACCCTCAGGGTCAGTGCAGGGCCCAGAGTCCATCTGCATCTTCGTTCCACTGTTTACCTCTCAACTCCACTTCTGAACACTGGGAATCACTCAGGACTTTGATCGGACTAGATTTTTGTCTCTTACCCTTTCTTTTTGTCCACTGCCATTTCTTTTCCTTACAACTATATGGCCAAATCTTGATCTCCAGGCCTTTCCTCAGGTCTCTAGGCTTCCCACCTCCCACTTAATAGCATCATCAGCTTAATTTCTGGAGGAGAACTTCTGACATTCTACACTAAGTCACAGTTCTCGTGTTGAAAAATGGCAACATGACTATTTACCATGTGCACTTTGCCTCTTCCTTTGTGTTAGTCACAGCTAGACGTACCGTGGCTTGCTAAGATCCCTTCGATCTCTTTCTCCTTCATGTCCACCACCTTATCTCCTAACTTCTTGCCTTTAGACTATCCAGGCAGCAGATAACAGCTATCCTTTAGTCCTTTTCCACGATAAAAATCGCCTTTGACATCAGCAGGACTCTTGGGCTCACTAGACAGATGAGTGACCCGAGGCGTGGTCCAGGTGCTGCAGCGCCGGCTGGCGTCCACACCCTGAGATCTACTGGCAGAGCCCGGGTGCTTAAGCACCTTGCTAAAGAAGCTTGTGACTCATGTAGGAGATAAGTAGAATGTACAGTAAACAGGACTCTGCTTAAGAGCACGGGCGTGTGGCGTCGGGATTATGTGTCCCCAGATAGCAAGGTTCTCCGGTTGTTCTGTCTGAGCTGAGCTGGAGTTACCAGGAGGTACAGCAGGAGGGGAATAGCAGCCAGTCCTTTTGCCCAGATTCTCTGAGGAACATGTTTTTAGTGTTCAAGAGATGAACTTGGCACGACCACGGGCACAATGCTACCTTGTCCATGACAGCCATGTACCAGGGTGCTCCTCACCACTCTGCCTTTATGCTCTTCCCGTGAGGCTGCCAACTCTGGGCTTTTGAAACACTGGACAATGACAAAGGACATCTCAATGACTCAAGGAACACCCACTTCAAACCCCTGGGTGAGTGTCAGTCTTTACCTCCCCTGGCTCTGGGCCTCAGCAATTTATTTCCATGATAATGAATCCACAGGCCCTCTCTGTATTTCATTAACATCCTGCAGATCCATGTTGCATTTATGTAATACTTTGGCGCCACTCCTAGCGCTTGATTGCTACTATAAATCAGCTGAATGTGAGGAATCAGCTAGTGTAAATTTTTTAAAAGGCATCTTTCGAAGTCATGCTCCTAGTAACAAGTGGAAATCCTGCTGCTCTTGGCTCAAGGGTACCGCTGCTGAGAAAGAAGCCTTACACCCGGATTGCCCACGTTTCTCCTGACCCATCCCTTTAGGTATATGGGTTAGAAGCGTATTCATGCATAGCTACTGAAACAAATAACATCTTTTTCTCCCTCTTGGCCAAGATTCCACAAGTATGTTCATGATGTTGCGACTGAGACTCTGAATTTTGAGCATCTTATTAACAGCCAAGTGCTCCAAGGACACTGATGGGCACTTAGCACCACTGTGGACTCACAGAAGATACCCAGGGTGATGACTGAGTGATGTAGGTTTCCAGAGGCTGAATAGGAGGGGACTGGGGCCTGGGCTCAGAAAGACTATTTATCTGGAATGGCTGGATTATAAACTAGGTTGAGAAGCATTTGGAACACGTGACTTGAGGTGTAGTGATGACCTTGACTGCTGTGGCCCGTCACCCTGCCCTGGTGATACAGCAGTGTTGGTGCACCTTCGTCAGAAGTGAACTTGAAGGTACTTCGGTGACAGTGGTGGACACTGCTTCCCAGTGTGGAGAAAGAACAGCTTTGTTCGTGTGAATCAGCAAGACCTTATCAGCATAGGCTGCCACACTTCGCAGGTCTGACCTTCGGTTTGCCTCCCAATAGCACTTAGCTTGCCCCCAGGTTTGGCAGACAAATGTATGGTGGTCATAGGAGCTCAAGAGTTCCCATCTTCCCAGACCAGTGTATACTGGGGAGGTAGCATCTTCAGAATGAAATACAGGAGTGGGTTGCCTTGCCTCTTGGTGCAAACTCGACTCTGCCTTTTGGTGTGCCTTGAGGTGTTCTCTCTCTTTCTTTCTCTCTCTCTCTCTCTCTCTCTCCACCTAGCATTTTCCTAGGCTTACTGGGTGGCCTTGGAGGTCACTCAGCTTTGCTGTACCAATCCTGCCCCCAATCACACAGAGCACCTGCCTCAGCTTCCATGACTCAGATGGGGAAGCAGCCGGCTACTCTGGTCAGCTGCACTACGTCCTTGAGGGCAGCCTAAACACATCTGCACAGAGAAGAGCCATCTCTGAAAAGCCTCTTCCTGCGGCTGCCATTTTCCAAATCACTTTGGTAGAAAAAAATCATTTTGGTAGAAAGATCACTCTGCCAAATTTTATGCGGGTCTGTTGGATCCCAGTAAGAGAGATTTTGGTTGGAGAAATATTCATAGTTCCCAGTAAAAGTCACATCACCCTGATTAGAAAGTATTTTTCCTGCCCCCCGCCAGGGGGGCTTTCAGGGCCACACAAGCAGCCATACATCATACTAGACGTTTGTGTAAACAAAGCGCACAAAACCAGGCCAGATGGGAGTCATATAAGAAGCATGGGACTCTGGGGTTAGAGAGATGACTCAGAGGTTAAGAGCACTGGCTGCTCTTCCAGAGGTCCTGAGTTCAATTCTCAGCAACCACATGGTGGCTCCCAGCCATCTAGAATGAGATCTGGTGCCCTCTTATGGTGTGCAGACATACATGCAGGCAGAATACTAATAAGTAAATCTTAAAAAAAAAAATAAGCAAATGAAATAAAAAGAAATGTGGTACTGCACTGAGTTCTGGTTTTGTACCCAAAAGAAGAAAAAGGACATGCCAAGAGGTTCAAGGGTGAAAGCCTACCAGAAATCAAAACCGGGTGGGAATGGGCAGTAAGACAGATGATGGAGTACCTAGTGTTACAGATGCCTGGCTCTCCCTACGAAATGATCAGCGCTCCTCCCTCCACCCCTAGCCCTACTTTTCTCAGCAGGAAGCAGGGCCCAGGGAGCTCTTCTCCCAGGGAAGAGAACTCCAGAAAACCCTAGCAACACACCCCCACCCAACCTGTGCCACTCAGCCTGCTAAGGACCAGATGGACACCTGAAAACATGTTTGTTTCCATTCCGGTTTTAAAGTTAGAAACATCCCCTAACCTCGGTCTTCCTGTGTCTGGACTGTGCTCCTTCATGAAATGACGATCCCCGTGTCAAAGCTATATTTACGGTCTAATTATGTTATTTTCCTTTTTCCTCTGGCTTCTCTGGTTCTTTCTTGGCTCCATATATCCGACTCTTGATTAGAAATCCATGCTAACCCACTTACGGCTGGTTATTGAGAAAATATCATGACGGGATAAATGAAATCTCTTTATGTTTAGTCAGCACAACCTGCATCCTTCTGGTGCCAGCAAAAGCCTCTGGGGCTTTGGGAATTTGAAAAATGTACGAGCCCAGTTTACAAATACAATATCCACATGGCTCCCCCACTGGACCCAGAGAGTGGATTTTCATCCCAGTCTTTGGCACAAGGAAGTTACTGCATTTGTTCAGGCATGTGCCCATGCTATGCCCATCTTCTGCCCCAGGCAGAGCAATCACAATGGAGCAACATCCCAAGAGGTACTCGCGAAGTAAATGCAGGGCCATTCCAACTTAGAAAGAAAGGCTGAGAGACTGAGCCAGCCAGGAAGGTAGGAAAGGCCCCACAAGGTCACCTTCAGTCAACTGGGAGTCCATGATAAAAGACACACAGATAGATTATAGTTAGCTGAGTGTGCACTGTCAGAATTTCCCTGGCAAATCCCTAAGAAGTAATAGGGAAAGAATTCTGTAAAACTCCTTAAGCATTTTGGAAAGCAACTAATGCTCCTGTGCATCAGAAACCAGGAATGACCAGGAAAAGTGAAAGGCAGACAATTGCCGCCTTCCTAAAAGAGGAAACCTCAACTGAGAAAAAAGCCCCTGCAGTGGGAAGGAGAATCAGGGCGATCTGAATGGAATCAGAATGCCAGCTCTTTCAACAAGACAGGGCCAGACTGGGTCAGCTAGACTGATCCACAGACTGTCAGCCAGCAGGGACAAACAGCGCGGTTGATGAACTGACACACGTGGTAGACAGAACCTCATGGAAACATGCCGAGAGAGAGAGAGACATGGAGCTCAATCTGATCGTGATGCTTAGAAATACAAGCTGGGCAGTGCTGGTGCACGCCTTTAATCCCAGAACTTAGGAAGCAGGGGAAGATGGATCTTGGAGTTGGAGACGAGCCTGGCCTACAGAGGGCGTTCCAGGACAGCCAAGGCTACACAGAGAAAACCTGTTTTGAATAAACAAAGCAAACGAAAAGAAAGAAATACAAGTCCACGAACCAAAATCAGCAAGTAAATGTTTGGGCACAGCTCAATTCCAAGGGAACAGGCAGCTAGGGACAAGATGAAATTGAAGAAGAAATACAATAAATATCCTCATAAAGATACAAGAAGATACTGCTTCATTTAAAAAGATGATTTCAGCACCAAAATTAATAAACACGAACTAATAAACTAAGCCACCACAGTAACTACAACCAAAGATTAAGTGAGCTGCAAAACCTAGCTGACAGGTCCATCTCTATGAGATGCTACCGTGTATTTCACATGTTACATACAGACATCATGTATGTAACATCAACAGAAACATGCAAGAGCTTAAGTTTTGATTCGTTTGGTCTTGGGATGTAATGTAGGTATAAAATGCATATCATATTGAAGTGGTATTTGGGGTATAGTGGGTTAAATAAGATATTCTTTAATTGACTTTTTCATGTAAGTACTAGAAGACGTGAAGATACTACTCTGTTGGACAGACATACTCTGGGCTCAGGGGGAAGTTAGGTTGTGAAAGACAGGTCTAAGTGCATTGGCATCTCTTTCTCTTTGGAAAAGAAGTCAAATGTGGGAGAAGAAACACTGAAATATGTGAGGAAAATGTCTAAGAACTGAGGAAAGACATGAGGCCTCCCTCCCAGTGGCAAGGGTTCCTGATGCTGAAGAATGCAGTTCCACTAAAGATGTCTAGAGAGGGGAAGATGCTGGCTTTCGTTATCACCAATTACCTAATCTGGAAGAGTCTAGTCAACGTGCAAACCAGCAAAATTTTCTTATGTGCAAATAGAATGACTGTCTATTTGTCAACATCCAGCAGTCACTTTTCAAAATAGCAGGTCTTTCCATTTCTAGCCTGCAATGTTGGGGCACGAGTAAGGCATATTAGTGCCTTCTTCTATCCAGGAAGACCAATATGACCCTGGAAGGACTGGAAGGAGCAGCCGCCATCCGAGTGTGCCAAGAAGCCCTCACAGCTGAAAGGAGCAACATGGGGGCATGCGGGTTGCTTACCGTCGGATGGCACTGGCAAACTCTGTGGCCAGGTCACTGTCACTGCTTGTCCTTACTTCAGCCAATGACAAAGCTGGGGAGGCAGCATCAGCACACTCCTGGGGAGAACAAACGTAGTCACTGTCAGATGCGAAGCAAAGTCCAGGGGTACTCTAACGGCCATCGCCACTGTGGGGTACAAGACAGCAGTGCCATGCCTGTGGGACCCGTGGGCCAACTGGTGGAAAGCCAGGCAGCAAATCTGAGTGTCTCCTCTGTTCCCAGATTTCCCGTGACCTTCATGTGCTGCCCCGAATGAGGAAAACCCCTGAGGGACACTTACTGCACTGGCATGGGTCTAAATCTGCCACACACCACTACTCCCTTGTCACTAGGAAGGACCCTCCACGGCACTTGGGTCTTGTCTTACCATTGTCTTCATCCACCACAGGAGAAACCAAGGCACTGGGGTTACCCTGCCCAGTTACTAGATAGAAGCTAGCCAATCCAGAACTCAAAGCCAGGCCCTCTGGCCCCATGTGAGTCTCTTCAGAAGGCAAATATATGTAAATGTCCTTGCTGACACATACCAGCTCGCTTTCTCTAGATGGGGGAGCTTGTTATGTTCCACGTAATCATAAAACTCAAGTCCCCCTTCCCTCTCCTCCCCATGCAGCAGCATCCCACAGAGACTTCGTGTCGTGGTTTAACAGACAGGGGTTGTAACATCAGAACTCTTGAAGTGACAAGCAAGCATTAGCCACGTCTAAACAAGAACGCGATTTTCTCTGCAGATATGCTAAGCAGTGGGTATCCTGCAAAATGAGGTGGCTGGCACCAGGGGCTAGGTGCCAGGGACCAGGGATAGACACTGATGATGATGTGTTCCAGGTCTGAGAATAAGCAGCTTATTCTATGTGACAGGAGACAGACTGTAAAAGAGAGTTATATCACAATATATATACATCACAGGCACTAAAGTCCAGATGACAGGAGACACACCTGCCCCGCAGCCTACTCTAAAATACTGTGGCCCTCTTCCCGGGGGTGCCTGGCCAACGTGTTCCCTCTCCTGTGCCATTCACCTGCGTTGTGCCTCTCCAAATAACGGCTCCCAGAGACCCAAGTGCAGATTCTAGAAGCTCCTTTCCTTTTAATGCATCCACGGTTGATGTTAGCATTTCATAAGACTCCCTGCCTCGCCCACGGGGCCTTTTGATGTATGACAATGTCTGTTTCAGGCAGACATGAACAGCAGAAAGCCTAACGCAATCTGGCTAGGATCTAGGAACCAGCTACATGAGCTGGAGAGAAGCTTCACAGAGAGGCGGGATCACGCCCTCCAGGACAGAACAGGTGCTGTCGGCTCATCTGTGACCCGCCACCTGGATACATGCAGTCCATGGACTCGAAATGGCTTGTCCATTTTGAAGAAAAAAAAGTTCAGAGAAGAATATTTTGCCACAAGCCATGGATAGGACACTCATATTGCAATGCCTATCAAAGTCTCGTCAACAGACAGGGCTCCCATTCTCATCCAAGTTGCCCGAGGCTTTTGCAGTTCGTGTATGCAGGAAACTCTGGTTTTCCTTGGGCAGCTGGTGCTGGTTTGATGGACAAACTCCCAAGAATTTTCTTTCTACCCTGCTCACCAAAAGTTTGGCTCTTTTCTCTATGCTGGTTTCCTCATCTCTAGCAAATAACACCAATGAATAGCCTAGACTCTAAAGTGGAAGACTTTACTGAAATAGTACATGAGCCAATATCTGAGAGTCAAAATAATCATCTGACTACTGCGTTACACACACTGGGGGCACTGAGTACCTCAGTTACTTCACTTCTTACAGAGACACTTTTCAAAGGCACCTGGCCTGGCCTGGCCTGGCAGAGAAATGTCTGTGTGTTGAAGCCACTGCAGAGCACAGTACTCTTAGTCAAAATAAATACCAAGAACTGTGAGGAAATGTTCATTCACGGGCCTTTGGCAAGAACTCACTAAGTCCATTTTACCACACCCTAAGAACATACATAGACAGACTGGCGCTCTGTTGAAGGTTCTGTCCCAAACTGACCAGCAAACTTAAAAGGCCATGAGGAGCTTCTGAAGGTGAATGTAACAGAAAATGTCTCCTTAAACCTGGATACGGTTACATGAAGCGCCACCACATAGCCCCCGCCTGAGTGGTACTGCACTTGGCCTAGGAGCTTCCAGATCCTGAGCCATGCTCATCCCATGGCTCCCTGATTCCCCACTGTCCTTGGGATAACACTGCAAGCTGAGCCTTCCAACCAACACATTGATTCCCTTCCATCTCAGGTTTTGGGTCTCCAAGCCTTGCCTGGCTGGAGGCCTTGTTGATCTCCACTCTACTTCAAAAGACTAGCTCCCACCCCTACTGAGTCCCTCTCCTCTTAAGTCTTTGATCTGGGGGACCTGACCATGGGACCTCACAGGGCACTGGCGGTTGAAACCTGCATTTGGGACACCCTCTGACTGTACTATGAACACGGTTGTCCATGGGCCCCAGCAGACATTCCTGGACAACAGCAGTTCACCTTGGTCTGGCATGCTGTAGCATCTAGTCATAGCCTGCAAGAGAATAGGTGTGTGGGGTGCATCAGGGTCTCAGGACATCATGGTCAGCAGAGTGCCGTACTGCGAGCGTCATGGGCTCACCTGCAGAGCGAGGTGGGGACGCTGACGCTGCCAGCTGTTTGTGCAGCGTGCTTCAGATTTCATAGCTATTTAGGAAGCAGCAATCATGTCACACAGCACCAGTGCCTGCCCTTCCGCCCTCCCTCCCACCCTTTCTCTTTTCCTCCCTCCCTCCCTCCCTCCTAAGTACCCCACTTTGCAGGAGACATCCTGCAGTACCTACAACTGCAGTGAGAAACTGTTTCCGTGGCCAGCCAGTCAGCATTTGCCTGCAAGTCCTGCATCTGAGCACACTAGTGTCAGGGGAAGTTTGATATTAGGAATATTGAATGGATGTGCTGAACAGGCAGTTCCCTGAGTGAGGGACGGATAGAATTCATTAGGGTCTGAACCATTTTGGTTTCTTTCTTTCCAGTGCAGCTGTCAAAGGGAAATGCAAAATGACAGGATGATCTCGGATTCTCGCAAAGACCCCTGGGGCACGGGAGAGGGGCTGAATTGAATACGAGAGTCTGTGAATGGTTTTACTTGAAGCCCGGTCTCTGTTCATATATACCTTAATCCAAGGCTTCCCTCGCACCTACCCTTCCTGCTTCCTAAGGCACTGAGAGCTAGGTGGTGGAGAAGGCAGGAAGTGGCCTGTTAGCCAGGTGTAATTTAATCCCTGTGCCATTGTTTATAGTAGCAGGGCCTCTCATCTCTGTGGAACCTTATTTTCCTCCTATAGATGCAGACTGGCATTCCTTGCGCCGACGTTTAAGGGAGATAAGCACAGATGACCACATGGAAGTGCCAGCATCTCAACCCAGCGATGGCTGTCTTGGGGCACAGCTGGAAGCCGGGTGAGACCACTGCACAGGCCACTTCTCTGATAAGACAGTGATGTGCAAGAATGCCCAAACTTTGATAAAATGTGAGATGTTGTTTTTTAATGGGGATTTGGTTTCTTTACAAATATCTCATAACCTCTGGTGCCTGTGTAAACAAGGAAACTGAGGCAACAGCATGAGAGATGGTCCAAGGTAAAGGCAGAAGGTAATGCCCACTGAGGGTACCCATATGCCATCTTAGTAAAGGCAGACAGTAATGCCTGCACTCAGGGTACCCGCACGCCACCCTGGCCCTACCTTGCCAGGCTTCTCTTTGCCGCTGCTGCTTGTGGAGCTCAGAGACCGCATCCTCTGCTCCTTCTGCTCCTCCACCTCGGACTTGAGGTGCTCGATGTGCACCAGATAGGCCTGCTCCTGGGCTTCCCTCGTGCTTAGCTTCAGCTCCAGGGCCTTCTTCTCTTTCTCCAGCAGGTACAGCTGTGCCTTCAGCTCAGCCATCTCTTCCTGTGGAGCAAAGCACGTGAAGCCAATGAGAAGCTTTTCTGGTACACCCGAAGGGCTGCCATGCCAAATGGGTGCATAGGAAGGCCTGGCTATAAGCCATGATTGCACAGCCCAGGTATCACTCCCAAAGTTGGGGACAAACTATCTCCCCACATCTGTCCGAAAGGCTGATAGGTAGACAAGCCAGCTGCTTTGTCATCCTGGGGGCTAGAATTTCTACATGGGTAGAATTCACAGGCAAGCAGACGTTGCATTGGTGCAAGGGAAAACCTTTTAAGATGCTAGAGGACCCCAAATGGACACAGTTGCCTTGGAGAGAGTCAGTTCTCTGGCATGGAAGGTCAAGGTGCATCCACCGAGGGTCGTGGAGGAGATATCCATGCAGAGAGATCTGCCTGGGCTCCTTTCCACTCCCCTTTCACTCCCATGACACCATATTTCCTGTCACACTTGTCACGCTGCAGCTGAGCCAGGAGGGTCAAGGAATGCTAATTAGAATAGCATCTGCTTCCGAAGGACCAAATGAAATTAGCAGGAGCGGTCCCCTACTGGAAATTACCCATCAGATAAGGTCCTTTTGTTTTCCCCGTGCTGGGAATTGAACCTAAGGGCATGTGCATGCTGAGCCGACCCACAGAGAGGCAACTTCTGAAAATCTAAAATGTTTAACTGGTAGTTTTCTTTGAAGTAAGACATGAATTCAAAATAGGTAAGTGCTAGCCTGGACAAGCAGCCAGAAAACTGGCAACCACCAGTCTTCCCTGGGCACATAGCATTGTTTAAAGAGTCCACAGAAAGTAAAAAAAAAAAAAAAATTCATCTTCTGAAAGTAAGGTAAGAGTTGAAGGGTACCCATCAAGGCTTGTCCTCCTTAGGCACAGACAACACTAGTCACTGTGCTCAGTGGCCTTTTAGAACAGGCTAAACCTACTTTACTATGATGACCAGACATAACCAAAATGGAAGGGGTTTTTTCATGGGAAGCCTTTACATCTGAAGGCTATGGCAACTGTGTATGCTGAGCTCATGTCACTCTCAGAACACACACACACATACATACATACATACATACATACATACATACACACACACACACACACTCACAAAGCAAGCTTACAGGAAGGAAAGGAGAATGTCTGTGGAGTCCCAGAAATATGGGTATCAGTCTGAAGTTGAGACTCACAAGGTGGCTTGAGGCAACAGTTTGCTCTGACTTCCTGATATCTGTGGTATTAGGTTCATGAAAGAGCTGGCCTTGGCCTCTGTGAGGCAGACAGCCATGTTGATGCCACCTATGTTAGCAAAGACTCTTGAAGTACTACCTGAATAAAAGACTAGGAAACGGCTTTTCTGGGGCTGTGGAAAGGCAACTTGTCATCTCTTGGGCTATGGGTGAGGAAAGAAATAAGCTCTTTGGAAAAATCAAAATTCAGGCTTGTATATGGATGATGCAAGAATCCTCATGCCAAAACATTAAAATGAATACCAGACCTCTGCAATCCACAGGTCACAAGGGAAAAGGACAGGCAGAGTCCTGGGCTGTGAGATCCCACAGAGACCACAGAGACATGTTCTCCAAGGAAGACATGTACATTCCACCCCAAGAGGAGATGGAAATGAGCCACTCTAAGGGAATCACAGTTAACATATGCTTTTTGTGTATGTTTGTTTTCTGAGACAAGATTTCTCTGTGTAACAGTCCTGGCAGTTCTAGAACTCTCATTGTAGACCAGGTTGGCCTCAAACTCACAGAGATTCTCCTTCCTCTCCTTTTGAGTGTTGGGATCAAAGAAGAGGGAATTATAAAAGAACCAGGTGGATCATCCAGAGAGGAATGGGGTTTACTCAAAAGCATTTCTATGCTGAAACAAAATGGTGAATTCCAACGTAGTCCACTGGCTAGGGAATGTGTGGGTCTGCACACACCGCTGGACACATTAGAGAAAAGGAGATGGGGCTGGTTGTCAGTTTCCCAAGTACTCAGGAGGAGAACCAAGCCTGAACATGGACAACCACTGCTCCAGGTCCTGAGGTCCATGGTACGGGTTCTCCCAGCTGCTCACCACTTCTACACCTTCAAAACTGTCCAAGGTGAGTGCGGTTTAATTTGAGTGGCAAAGGCAATATTAGAGCATTCAAACACATGCATGCACACACACACACACACACACACACACACACACACACACACGTCTTTCCTTGGCCAGATTAACAGTAAATCTGTCACAACACACATTGACTGAACTATAAAAAGAAAATGCTTAGTCTATGGATAAAAGAAAACATGATGTTTAGAGTGAAAAATAGAAGAACAAGTTAATGGCTCATGTCACATGGTACAAGAGTCTGCAAAAGAAGCTCCTGACTGGGACACAGTCAACTATAATCATGTACTCAGGGCCAAATTCCTAAGAAGTCCTCAGAACTCAGCTGAAGAATGGTGAGCACTCTGAGCGGAGTGGCTGGATGGAGAAGAGAAAAAGGAGCAGGACAGGTTAGTACCAAGGAGGGATGCCTGGATTCCCACATCTCTTCCTGCTGCCCCACATCTTCCATGATTTAAACACCAGCATCTTAGAGAGGGGATGAACAGGGCCTGGCAGCCAATCCAGAGCTGAGGACCCGTACCAGCTGCTCCAATCAGCCCCCACTGCTGTGGCTCCATTGAGAGGCAGGGCACCCTGAGCCGAAGGGATGGCAGTGTAACTAATTGCCAACAAAGAGCAATGGATTCTTCCTCTATAAGTGCTGACAAATAGCTCAGCCCATGGGTGAAGAGCCCAAGATCTTGGTAGGACACTGGCCAGAATTGTTCTGCCAACTCTCATTGGAGGGCACCAGTTCTAGACAGACTTAGAGCTCCTAATGGCCCAGGGTGACAGGAAACCAGAGCTTCTTGCCAGAGTCTAAGCTGGCTTTGCCATGGTCACCTCCTGTTCCAGCTCCCACCAGCATGGGTGATCCAATAAGGACTTTCACCACTCGTGAGACCAGGGATCATCATGCACTGATAAAGGCTGCAGGTCTCGGTTAACCTGGTAAGGTATGGAGCTGGGCTACTCCCCAGCTTCCTCTAGAGTTCAACTGCCTTTCCAATAAAGTCCAGCCCATAGGACTTCTACACAAACCAAAGCCGCCATTCTCCGGAGAGACTGGCTATCTATCATCTGGACAGAGGGAATTACTAACTGAACTCTGCTGCCATGTTCTCAGGGCCCTGTGAGGTACCCCTCTAGGTGCGCCCAACAAATGAAACCTGCAGCACACCTTCATGGCCATCAGCTCCTGCATCAGCACGGCATTCTCCAGGTCCAGCCTCTGGCTGTCGCCCCTGGGCTTGACGTCATAGCTGAGCGGGTCGATGTGGATGCTCTCCAGCTCCAGCATGGTCAGCTTGACAGCCGCTCTGTCGTTCTTGAGCTGCTGGATGTAATCCTTCAGCCTCTGCTCGTCTTCCTTAGTGAACTCCGTGTCACAGCTGCTGGCTGTGGAGCTGGTGGTGCTGAGGGGCAGAGAGAAAGCCCACACTTCAGAGTCATCGCCACTAGACCTCATCTCCTCTCCGCAACTTTATTCAGGGGGCAGTCCATAAAAAGGAAACACATACACACACAATAGACAGACAGACAGATGCTGAAAGTACATTTTAGATCATGATGTAGACCCTAAAATGGAATCCTGAGATACTAATTCCTCAGAAGTAAAGACATGTCTACAAAGCTGTTTCTTATAATAATGTGATATAAGATCAAGTTATCATATGACAGAATACATCAGAAAGAGCAAACAATGTGAATATTATAGATAATTGTGATGATAGGAGAGATAGCTTAAGTGAGGAAAGAGATGAACAATGGTATATGTCTAATAGAAACAGGTGACATGGGGACGGGGCTTAAAAACGGGAGCTATAGAACCTATGTCCATGACCTATAGATTGGGTGTGCTCCTGTACTCCTGGCATACAGAAACCCCAGGGAGTGACAGAGTTCCTGCAGGGGTGGAAGTGGGAAGGAATTCCTGGAAGGAATGTGTAAGACTGACAGTGCCTGGTGCTTAGGATGCAATGAAAAACAAGTGTGGGGTGGGAGAGATGGCTCAGAGGTTAAGAGCCCTGGCTGTTCTTCCAGAGGACCTGAGTTCAATTCCCAGTGACTACATGGTGGCTCACAGTCATCTGTAAGGAGATCTGGTGCCCTCTTCTGGCCTGCAGGCAGACATATAGGCAGAATACTGTATACATAACAAATAACAAATCTTTACGAAAAAGAAAAGCAAATGTGTACAGCATGGTAGCATGTTGGCACTAGATGTCTCTGGACTGCCACAGCCCAGTCTTGAGGACTCAGGCCGATTCTGTGGGCCACTGGCAGCCCATGCTGCATGGTGACTTGGCAGATGATGCCAGACATAAGGCGTGCCCAGCTGAACATGGACCTGTGGTGGCCTAGACCGTTTCTGAGAAACCAAACCACCATGAAAGGGAGACGGAGACAGCTGTAGCCTGCTGTGCCTACTGACTCAGGAGAAGGCCCACAGGTTTCTCTGCTTTTGCCATTCCTTCCTAGCGAGAGATCCCTCCTGCAACTGGTTTGGGACTGATGGCAGAAGGGCAAAAGCAGGGCCCATGCAGCCCTCAACAAAATGATCTGAACTGGCGGCATTGCCTGCTGTTATAAACTGGAAGCTCAAGTGAAGAGACAGTGAGGGCCTGATTGACTGTGTGTGGCTGTAAAGTAGTGCTAAGAGCCTTCTACAGCGCCATCTCATTCCACAGCCCCGCCCTTTCCCTTTCCTTCCTGTAAGCTTGGGTGTGTGTGTGTGTGTGTGTGTGTGTGTGTGTGTGTGCTCGTGCGCGCGCGTTCTGAGAGTGACCGTCACATGAGCTCAGCATCCACATTTGCCATAGCCTTCAGATGAGAAGGCTTCCCATGCGAAAACCCTTACTTTCAGAAGATGAAATTATTTACAACGCAGCCAGGGCAGTTCTCAGCATATGATACATCACTGAAAAGACAAAGCCGGCTGGAGAGTTGGCTCTGGCATGAGGAACAACTGTTGCTCTCGTACAGGACCTGAGTTTGATTCCTAGCACCCACACGGTGCTTCGCAACCATCTAAAACTTTAGCAGCAGGGATCAGAGCAAACATCTGCGGGCAGCAAGCATGCATGTGGTGCAGGTACATAGATGCAGGCATAGCACTCAAACACCTAAGTGGAAAAAGCCAAAGCCAACTGTGGTAGCTCAGGTTTGTAGTCTAAGCTACTCTGGAGACAGAGGCAGGAAGATTTCTAGAATCTAGGAGCTGAAAGCCAGTTTACACAAGATAGTATGGCTGTCTCAAAAAAAAAAAAAAGAAAGAAAGAAAGAAAGGATGATATGAGAGAAAACAAGGCTTCCAGAGTTTGTAGGGTAGAGGCTGGAGCTATGCTGCTCGTCCCAGTGGCCACACAAGGTGGAGGCCACCTAGGGGGGTGGAGTAGCCTTAAGTCTGAGAACAAATTCTAGGATGGGAAGCTCCTGGGGGTGTCTCTACTTGGTTTGTCCCTAGCGGGCTTCTCACCAGCCATTCTAAGGGACTGTGCGGCTTGGATAAGGTACAGTTGCTTCATGAACAAGGCGAGTCTGGCCATCAGGCTGAACACTCTCAGGTACTGCGAAGGGTGCTTACTATGCCATCTAGCTGGGCTGCAGTACTCAGGCACTTTCGAGACACCTGATGAGCTGATACTGCGAGGGTCGATTTTGATGCTAGACAATTTTGTTGATAGAGGAGTGTAGTCAACATATATGTCCCTTGATGGCCGGGAAAGGAAAAAAATTCTGCCTCTAGAGACAAAGGATTCAACTAAAGTTCTTCCTTTGGGGCTCTGAATATCCTGACACTCCAGCCTCTATATTCAAATTCCTAAGGCTCACTGCATGTACGTCTGGATATATGTACTGCTGTATTTAAAGAGACACATGTAGCCGCATCTATAGGTCATATCTACATGCATCTCCTATTGGCTCTTTTCCTTTGTGGAAATCGCATACTGGAGTAGCACACTAACTCGGGACCCAAGCATCTTACACACTGGAGGGCCACACTCACCGGGACCCCAGCATCTTATGCCCTGTGGTGCCATACTCACTCGGGACCCCGGCATCTTACACACTGTGGTGCCACACTCACTGGGGACCCAAGCATCTTACACACTGGAGTGCCACACTGAACTCAGGATTCAAGCATCTTATACACTGTAGACTTCATGTTTCCTGACTGGGACATAGCATTAATGCTTTCTTTGTAAAATTATGATAACAATTAAACAAAGTGAAAAGTAAGGTACTTAAATCAGCATATCGTAAGCACTCACTAAACATAGCTATTATTTATTTCAGAAATATCAGGGTGTTTATCATAGGGCACCTTTTTAGGCCCTTAAAACCTTTATGGGACTCATATTCTAGTAGCAGAGATAAGCAAATGGCATTATATAGGACAGCTGACATGATGTGCACCGTGGCAAAAAGTGAAATGAGAGACTTGGGAAATCCAAAGTTGGGATGGGTTTATTATCTGAAATAGCAAACGGGAAGGCCTGTGTGATAATGTTACAACCCGCTAGACCTAAGGGAGGCAAGAACAAGAACTGTGTGGATCTTTGGAGGGAGGCTGATCAGGACTGAGCTTGCAGAACACACAGAACTCACAAGCAGCAGGCTTGGCCAGCAAGGAGAAGTTATGGCCAGTGCAGAGCCAACCAGCTGCTAGCAACAGGAGGATGGACCAGGGGGGTCTGCAGCCGGGTGTCACAACACGAAGGTTTATGAGGATAGTCCCTATCTTCTCTGGGGTTAGAATGGATGTTACTAGGTGCTTGTGAGAGGAGACCCTGGTCAGATATGCATGCCCAGATCTCTCTGGTCTGAGGAAAAGATGAAGTGGGCAAGGGAAAGGCAGCGAGGTCCCTGGAGGAGCCACTCCAACAATCGTGGGGGAGATGGCAGAAGCTTGGAGTAAATGAGAGCAAAAAGAGTGGGGGAAAGATAAGAATAAGGGATTACCATGTGCTGTGTTTTAGAAAGGACGAGAAGGAAGTAACACCACCTCCCAGCCAGAGCCTCGGTGCTACCCCTAACAACCCCTGGCAATCCCTAAGAATCCCTAACAACCATGCATGCTGCTGAAGGAATCAGGGCAGGGCCAGGCAGACCTGCAACACGGGGTATGGTAGAGCAAGTCCTGCAGAATACGCCACTCGCCTGTCTGCAAACAGTTCAGCGGCAGACGTGCTACACGTATTGACCCCTTCAGGTAGGGCGCACTTCCTGCCACTCAGCAGTGGCAAAGGGACAGAAGGTGAGAGTTTCCCAGGTGAAGGGCAACAGAATTTAAGCTCGGAGGCAGCTCGGAGGCAGCATTGTTCACCAGGCATTCCACAGGGTGGAGTGTAGAGATTGCTCCCTGGAGCCCGGGGTTTATACACAATGAGGCAAGAGAAACAACAGGGCCTCTCTTTGTCAGACAGCTGGGAGGCAGCCTCAGCGTCAGCAATGAAATCTCTCCCCACTACACCACCTTAACTGGGGGACGGGCTGGGGGGAGTACAGGCCAGTCCTTTCATTTAAAAGTTATTTATCAAATCAGATACTGAGAATCACCAACACCCATTTGCCAGCCAGCCACGTGACACTTGGGCGTCTTATCTCCAGACCACAAGTTTTGGAAACTATGACATTGATAGCTAAAGCAGCCTTGCTAACTTTTATTTCCAAATAGAAACTGCAAAGATCCAAAGAGTTCCAAGTTAGGGCTCTCTGGCTTTTCTGTCTAAAGGGATAATATGGAAGAATTTCTATCCTGGGGGTTAGTCTGCCCCATCAGCCCTCAGACAGTCTCTGAGGTAGTGGCTTCAGTCTCACTAGGCTTGTTTTAGGGTGGCACTCCCTTCGCCCAACAAACACCCACAGTGCCAAGACTTCTGGGAGTGGCTAAGGGATGACAACAATCTTTTCCTTAAGACAAACTCCATGCTGTGCCTGCCACCAGAACGGCAACAAATGGAAACTCAGCAGACAACCAACTGGTTGGCCTCACATTTTCTTAGGGGTGGGGCTGCTGTGTACTGAGCTGCTCAGGTGAATGCTCACGATTCTGGCAGGTCTCTGAAGCCAGTCACACCTGCACAGCCTTCTTTTGGCACGCCCCAGCCTCACGGCCCAGAGGGAATTGCCTAACTTATCTGGCTGCAGTCAACAGGAACACTCGTGGCTCCTACCTCCCAGAGTGAGGGAAGGACCAGCTGGTGGTACCTACCCAGTGTGCATTCTGGGTGAGGAACAAGGACAAGAGACACTGTGGGGGCAGCTGCATGAAGATACCCACCACCAGCCTCAGTGTTCCCTGGAGGTCAGACACCTGCCGGCATGCAGAAAAGCTGCAATGGAGGAGGAAAAGACAAGAAGTTGGTTCTCCAGGGCCTCAAAGATCTGGAAGAACATTAGTGGGCAGAGAGTATCCGGTTTCATCGTCTCCTGAGGCTTACGGTTGGTCACTGGCCAAAAAGGACAGTTTTGGTTTCTACTGACTTTGCTATACATGAAGAATAAAAAGTACAGACTATCCCAGTCCACACATCCTACCATATTGGGAGATAAGAGCTTACACTGCTCTTCCTCAGAGAAAACTGAATTTCAAGGCAAGCACCACAGCCCACGCCAGGACAGCCTAGCTCTCTTTCCTCCCGTCTAGGACACCAGCAGGGAGCAGATCAGGCAAAGGTAATTACAACTCTGCTTCATGCCCTTAATGTTCCGCAGCCCAATTTGATTATGATAATGGTAAAGAAGGAGAAGTCACTGGCCCTTCCTCTGGCCTCCCGGGGGCTGCTGTGGGCCGCTGGGCGAGGGCTAAGTCATCCATTACCTCTCCCCGCTTGGAATGCAGGATGAGCTCAGCTGTCAAGGGGAATAAATCACTTTCTAGAGGCTGGAGGTGCTCCGAGAGCAGGATGGAAGGCAAATCTGCCGATGAAGAGCCCAGGCATGCTCAGCCACACTTGCCTGCGCTTAGCTCTAGTTTTCTGAGGAGCCAGACAGGAGTCAAGGTTTCTTTCCGTGATCCTCTGCTTGGATACAGCACCAATCAAGACACCTGATTAGTCTGCAACAGCTAATTGCCGGAACATTGTACCACAAATTCACTGCTCAAGCTGCTGGCCGCAGTCCAGGAGAGGTACATGACTGCCAGGCTCAAAAACAAAAAACAAAGCTAGGCGGTAGTGGTGCACGCCTTTAATCCCAGTACTTGGGAGGCAGAGGCAGACAGATCTCTGAGTTCGGGGCCAGATTGGTCTATAAGAGCTAGTTCCAGGACAGACTCCAAAGTTACAGAGAAACTGTCTCAACTCCTCTGCCCCACCCTCCCCAAAAAAGTCAAAAATATACTCTTACCCTCTGCCTACCCACAAACCCTTGCCTCTACCTGGTCTGTTGTCCAATACGTCATTAAAATTAGCTCTAGACACCAAATGCCATTTCTTCTGTTCCTCTGCACCAGGTGCCATCTCTGACTCCCAAATGACCCATCCTGGTCACCAAAAGAACCAGATGGCCCCACCCCATGATGGGCTTTTCTTATGGCACTAACGAACCAGTTAGCCACGGATATAAATGCAGGCTGTCTGCCGATTTTCTGCCATCTAGAAAAGGCTGCTGTAACAAGAGGAAAATGTCAGCCAGCACAGAGCCACAAAGGTGGGATGCAGAGCCTCGTGCGTGGCTGCTCACCTGCAGGACCTGTCACCAGGAAGTACGGCAGCCCTGGGCCTTCAGCTAGCATTTATCTCATGCTAGCCTTCCAATCAGGACCCCTCTTAAGCTGTTTTACATATTATCTTACGTATTATTACGTACCTATCCTTTGCAGTACCAAATCTTAATTTATCAAGCCCCAGTGATATTATGGAAGTCTATCCCAAAGTATTACCCAGTGTCCTGGTGGGGATTCTAGCATGGGAAAGTACAAGATTGTGTACTGTGCATTTTGTAATGTTAGGATGTTAACTGTTGTCTTTTAAAATGGGTGAACGGCTTTGACTGGTTCCTAAAGTTAGGGCTTAAGAAGAAGGAGAAAAGTACAGGAAGCACTTCATGTTGCTACTGTAGTCACATGACAGGAAGAAGGAAAGAGACTAGGACTGAATCAGTGTGTCTCAGTTGGGTGCTGGCGCTCACTAACACTAGCAAGTACCAATATCCTGCACTTAGAACACTCTCCCGATTCCTGGGGAGAAGAGCCTCTCTTTCTCTGAAAGATGGCACTATAACAACCAGTCCTGTGTGGCTCGCATTTCTTGAAGCTTGCTGCTGAGGGTTGCCGAGACCTGGCCTAACTGGATTCCAGGCCATTACCTTTACATCAGACAGTTTGCCACTGGTTTAATTCATCCTTCCCCATGAAACTTTATCTTAACTGGGACTAGTATAGAGGGTGCAGGCCAAGCCCTTCTGGTCCTCTACTGCCCTCTACTGCAACTTGGGCATCATGCCCCAGATAGCATGCTGGCCAGCCAGCATCCTAGGTACCCAAGGCAGGAAGCAGCTTCACTGCAAAGCTGAATCACCCTTCACCGATTGCACATGCCTGTGCCTATTTTATACTCAAATGAAAGAGCTTCCATTCCAATTTCTAGGAGGGCTCACTCGCTATGACTTTTCTGTGCTTTCATGGATTTGTATCTGTGAGTACACTTTCCACAGAATGAGCAGAAATCACAGCGCTTGCCACAAAGGCTAGGCTGCTTGCTAATGCCTAGCTCTACTCACTGGCAATCTAGTCTATTTGCCTCTCTGCGTGTTATGCGTTGCTAAAGCTATGGATGCATTGCCCGGCTACTCCATCCATTAAGACAACCGAGCTTTCCAATGGATCTGTAGCTGTAATTTTCAAACGTGAGATGTTTTCTTTCTTCTTTCATGCTGAGGTCCCGCCAAGGGCATCAACTGAGAGGTAACTATCATACAGATCCTTTTTGCTAGGTAACTAACCCTCTGCTGCTCCTTCCTAAAGCCATTAACCCTCTTGTCCTCTGGAGCTGTCAGACACCTCGGGGGACCTGACCTGAGCGTTCCTTTCCTGAGACCTTGGGTAGCACTGATGGACACACTGACTGCACATCTTGCCAGGTGGTCACAGTGGGAGAGAAGGGGGTGTCCTGGGCCACACAAAGCCCTGGCTCAGAAAGCTCCATTTACCTAGGACAGTGCTTGAGCCAGAATTCCAACACCTATAAATAAAACTTCTGAGACTACTGTAAGCTGATGGCTGGGAACTTTGCTCCGAACCTACGTTTATCATAAGATAATCCAACTGTTTCTGTTTTATGGTTATGGAGAGCCACATGAACGCCCTGTGTGTTCTTCTGTACAGGTTCTGAACTGCTGTGACAAGGGCACGAGGGGAAGTGACATTGTAGTGGAATCAGAGTTCAAAACCTGTGTTCAATGGAAGATTCATTTGAAACTAAAACTTGTTAAAGAACCCCTCTGCCCTCTCTCACGTGCACGTGTGGGGATGAGCATGTTTGCATGTGTGTGGGCATCGTCTTTGACCTGTCCCTATCTCCTGAACACTAGGATCCTAGGCAGGCATCACACTTGTTCGGCATCTGAACTCTGACGTGAACCTGGGTCCTCATTCTTGTGCAGGGCTTTAGCCACTGAGCCTGTTCATGGCCCTACATGGCCAGTCTTTAGTGAGCTCATTCTTGAAACCTGAGTCTGTGTCTGACTTTCTTTCAACCTAGAGAATTACAAGATCAGCAATTAAATTTCTCAAGAAAGTGGTCTAACAATCAAGATTACCTATACTTCAGATATCTCCTGTAACAAGTATCCAAGATCAGTTCTCCCCCAATAGAAGGCTAGAGAACTGTCTTCACTTTCGACCTACTCCAGAGCTATATGCAGGACAGGGAGATGTGTGAGAACAATTAAGCAAGACATTTCCTGCTAACCCAACTCTTAACATTCATTAATTCAACAGAAGACTCTCACAGACAAGCTGAACACTGAATATCTACTCAAACATGGAAATTATAGATTATAAGTACCTGCGAACATCATGGAAAGGGGCACAGGCTTCTGTATTTAAACAGAAGAATATGGTTTGAAAGGGAAAATTATAATCTGTGTGCTGCCAAATAAGACAGCTGCTGCTTAAGCGCAGAGGAAATAAGCCCTTTGTGTTTGCAGCAACTGGCCAAGTGTGGGATTGGGACTGTACTCTCTCCGGGGACATGGGGTTCAGTCTATGGATATAGATCCATGGAAGCAAGAAGTTGGCCCCCTCCAGGGGGAGAGAGAAATATCAAACTGCTTCCAGACATCAAGAGAACAGCGGTCCTTTTGCCTTGGCATTGGACATCCCATTGATCCGTGTGTAGCTCTCGCCACTTGCATGTAAGCCGACTGTCTTATAATGAATGAGATCTAATATTGCGGAGTGGGAGGAATACTGTGCTTCCTGCTGAAGTTCCAGATTTCCCTCTTAGCAGGCCAGTCACTTACACATCTCTCAGTCAAAGTGTTCTCACCTGTGAAAATGGGGTGAATCACCCTTGGCTTTCCATATCTGAAAATCCAGTAAGAATCTAACAACTGCATTCCAGTCTGAGAATGGGCACGTAAGGGGACAGTACATTACAGCCGCTAGAGTTTGGTGACAAGAAACAATAAACAAGCTACCAGGGCCTTCATTCCGGTGTCCTACCCCACCCAGGAAGATCTGACCTCAGGTTCACAATCAAGTGCCTGCCTAGGAGGTGCTATAAATACATCTGCACTTGAGGAATGAGATGAGAGGCCAGCCTCTTGCCATAGAAGAGCTTTTCAAGGACAGGGGTGCAAGGAGAGAGAGTGGGATCTGAAATGAGACCCAGGTAGACCGGGTCTAAGCAGTGGGCCATAGCCCCTCCAGGTAATTCCTGGAAACAGAGACTACTAAAGAAACAGGATAGAACAGGGCAGAGAGACGAGCACCAGGTGGAGAGTAGGCTCATTTGCCGTCTCTATCATTCACAACGTGCCCATGCACATTCGACTTTCCACAGTCTGCAGCCCTGTCTCCCTGGAATGTTCTTTCCACATAGGCATAATAACCTTCCAGCCTTCCTCACAGCTCTGCCTCCTAGGCTAGAGCAGGCTGTGAGCATGAAGCAGCCCTGCCTTATCCAAGCCTCACAGTTCCCCTACTGTGGACCCGTGAGAAGCCCATGGCAGGGGAGTCTCAGGGCAGAGCACCTAATAGTACCTGGTATGGCTGTTGGAGGACAGGCTCTCCCAGGGCTGGACGCTGCAGCCAGCCACAGCGAAGGCTCCCCCGCAGCTGCCATCCAGCTTCATCAGCAGGGCTTTGGCGGCATTCTCCGCGGTCTTCCGGCAGTCGTGAGCCCGCTTGAGCATCTGCGTGATATTCTCATCCCCTGACTGGTCTCCTACAGCACAGAGAAGCCAATGGATTAATCGATGCAGGAAGGAGTCAGGAAGGCCCAGGTTATGCTCCTGTAATTGGTTCTCAGTTACTGAGGATGGGAGTGTAGGGAGGACTGAGGAGGCCTGCAGGCTGGGCGAGTAAGGGAACTGAGAAGGGGTGAGAAGTTTTCCTCTGAGTGGGTGCCATAGTCCTCATGGACAGTGGTGTTGTGGGAATTCATTCAGCCAATAATAGCCTCTTGGATACCGGTCCTCAAGGGCGTGGTCTGAGGTACTATAAGCACAGACAGGAAGCCTGCTCACACCTTGCTCCCTCTTGGCTGGTGGTCGGAATTCGGTTCACAGCTACCATTGCCCAGAGAGACCCACAGTCCTCTACCCCTATTGTGAGTTTTTTTCCCCTAAATAAATAAATACTTGCTTTCTTTTATTCTGGGCCCTTGTGGGCCTCCTTAATTATGCTACACAGTATGATCTCCACATCAGCATTGAGTTAACTTCCCACATTTCTAAGCTGCTGCGTCTCTTCCTACTCAGGCACAAGTGTCCTGTGCAGGGGAGCAAATGGGACAAAACGCCACATTGTTTTGGTGACAAAAACCCACCAACAACACTGTCAGAGTTACATGCAGGGCAACAAGGACACGGCAAGTGGTTCAAGCTGAAATTGGAGCATTTTCTGTATCAATACTATCGTCCTGGCCTGGTCGAGGGGGCTGACTCAGACGGCTCCAGGAGCTGAGCGACAGGGCTAGGCCAGGACACCGGAGTACAGGAAGCATAAAGCCAAGATAATGAAGTTGGTCCCTGCTCAAGGTAGTCACATTCTCGGTGTGGCTTTTAAAACTGTGATGGAAAAGATCGAGCTATGGGGACATTAAAAAGCTCCGTGGGGTTTAGAAGATGACCTTAGTCAAGAACTTGCCATGCAGTCATGAGGACCTGACTTTAAATAATCAGTGACCATGTAAAAGCTGGGTTTAGTGGCGCACATCTGTAATTCCAACACCAGAGACGAGCTGGGGAGGAGAGAGGCAGGTTCAGACATGCTGAATCTCTCCCAGTAAGCCACGACCTCGTGGTGATATACAGATTATTAGAAATGGGTTGAATCAACATGTAAGAGCTAGCCAATAAGAAGTGGGAACTAATGAGCCAGTCCGTGTTTAAAAGAATACAGTTTCCGTGTAATTATTTCGGGTGTAAAGCTAGCCGGGTGGGCGGCAGGAGGTGGCCCACCGTTCCTTCTACACATGGGTGCATGCATTTAAATGGGAGTGGCATTACTTGAAAGGATTAAAAGAACTTGGATGCTTGATCTTGTTGTTACTTGGTGTGTGTGTGTGTGTGGGGGGTAGGCTTTGAGGCTTCAAAGATCCAAGCCAGGCCCAGTGTCTCCAGTCTCTCTTCCTTCTCTCCTTCCTCCCCTCCCCCTACACCTGTCTCTTTTATATCAGGATGTATCTCTCAGCTACTGCTGCAGTGCCATGTGTGCCACCACGCTCCCCACCACGATGACAATGACTTTACAGTTTCAGAGATTTAGACAGTCCCAAATCAAATGCTATCTTTCCTCAGAGTTGCCTTGGTTATGGTATCTCCTCACAGCAACAGAACAGTGACTAAGACATTACTCTAAAGAATAAAGGCTTCAGGGGGCTGGAGAGATGGCTCAGTGGTTAAGAGCATTGCCTGCTCTTCCAAAGGTCCTGAGTTCAATTCCCAGCAACCACATGGTGGCTCACAGCCATCTGTAGTAAGGTCTAGTGACCTCTTCTGGCCTTCAGGCATACATGCAGAAAGGATATTGTATACATAATAAATAAATAAATATTTTAAAAAAACATTAAAAAAAAAAAAAGAATAAAGGCTTCAGAACAATACAAAAACTGTGGTCGCCAAACAAACCGCTGGCTTGCTATCCTTCCAACACAGATCTGTGCTTTCCTCATGAAACTCTGGATAGCGAACACTAGAAACATAAACGTGGTTGGGCGAAGCGACATTCGGCTCCTTCACCCTTCGTGCCCGCTGCTGAGCCCCAGAGACAAACCCTTCGGTTTCCCAAGGTTCAGTTTGAGAAACACTGGGCTAAACCTTCTGGAATGAACATAATGAGCGCCTGTACAATCAATAACAAACAACGCAACCACAGTAATTGACACCGCGAGTAAATGTCACAAACGTGCTCTTGCTTATGCAGCACGACGGGCAGAGGGACGGACCAACTGCCACTGTCAGCAGCTATGAAAATTAGGCACCGCTTAGCACTGTGGAGAATAATGTGGATAATAATAGGGAGGGCGCTCCTCAGTATGGCGCGGTTCCCGTGCTGAGAATAGATCCCACAAACTTGATTTTCAACCATTTTTGCCATGTTTCTTTTCTCAACTAGGAATTTTACATTCACCTCACCAGTTGAACTGTTCTCTGTACTCTGTTCTAAAGCAGGCATGGTATCATCCTCTAGATGCACACAGGAGATGCCTGGGATGAGGGCGACATGAAGGCTTCATTGTTGCAAATGGTCTAAATGTTGATTTGTTTAAGCCCTTTCAACTCCTACCAAGTAACTGTCCTGTGTAGGCTAAATAAAGATGCTTTTTGCTCATGGAATAGGTTAAGACATCTTGTGATACAAACTAGAACATGGTTGATTTTTTTCTCCTTTAATTGATGGTTTTCTTAATACATATTTTTTTAAAAAAAAAACTTGACAGTAAGCCAAGATCATTTTAGGATCTGTTTCATGTGAGGAGTAAAATTTTATGGTTCAGTTAAAAGACCCTGAAAAAAATGAGGTTTCTAATGGAAATGTTGGCAGAGTTTCTGCTTCTGGGCTGGGCCAGGCAGTGGGGATGGGACCAGAGGGTGGAGTGGAGGAATGAAGGGTGGCCACCAATCCCAAGGATAAATGCTCTCTTGTTAGAAAGCCTGGGAATAAGAAAGGACAGTACTGCTTAGCTTCTTCTCATCCTCAGGTTTGATGCTGATCCCCGAGGGCATCAAAACCAAGGGAGGAAAATCCCAACTGTCCTTATAAATGTGGCGCTAGAGAGGTGGCAGGGATGGGAGTTCACTCAGAAGGAGTCTGGGGAGTAGCCTCCACGGTAGTGTGTCCTGGAGAGAGAAGGCCAAAAGGAAGCACACAGCCTTAACAACTGTCCATCAATTTCCCTCTCCCCTCTTCTAGCTTCCAGCTCAGAGTAACTTCCTGACAGCCTGGGGGCCATACATGGGGACACCTGGCCTGCCCTTAGAGCCTACCTTGGAAGATTTGGGGAACACTGGCTCATTTGAGTTTATTGTCTTGTCATTACGTCTCCCAAAAGGGTGCTCCTACAAAGCATAGGTGAGTTTGTGTCCAGGGCAAGCTTCCTTCCTCTCTGGCATTGTACTGTGTGGTCCCCTCACACCAGGGCAGGCCCTGCACTGTCACTGGCTGAGCTTTAGTGACACCGTGAAGAAGCCTACATGCCCTTTCTCCTTACTGCATGTGCCGGTCCTTTTCACAGCACTGTGATCCCCACTCCCTCCGCTCCTACCGTCAGCTCAGGAGAATCCATTTCCTAAGAGAGCTTGTTTGTTTTAACTTGTCTGTGATCCTGTTTCCACTCCAGTTCTTGCTTCATTCAACGTAAACAATTTACCCACTCAGTCATGAGGGAAAATGGAAAACACACTTGACAAGCAGATTTCGTGTTCCTGGGAGACAATGCCAGCAGCCATGCAGACAAGATGGGAAGTAGTACAGAGGGAACTCGGAGGACACTTACCAGGGGAGGAGCCCACGCCAGCTGCCCGGAATTGCCCCAGGATGAGGCTCTGCTCGCTCTCAGCCAGTGCCAGTAGGAGTTCATAGGCTTCTATGCACTGTTCACTGCAACAGAAGCACAGCATGGCGTCAGCTCTGGCAAGGAAAGGTGACCATCTTCCACACTGCGCCATTGCAGCAGGGTGCCTGCCTCAGCCTCCCCACCCACACAGTGAGGAACAGTCCACATACAAGTGCTCCCTGGATACACTAGGCGCTTGCTGTTATGTCAACCCCTTTAAGAAAAAATAAAAATAAAAACGGAAAAAAATGCAAGTTCTAGAAAAATCATAAAACGCAATAAAAAAGGGAGGGTCAAGTTGGTTGTCCTTTTGATGACCAGTTGAAAGACACACATGACACACCTATGGTACTTCGTCTCCACAGTAACCTCTCTTGAGCCTGCATCCCTGAATGTATATTTTTCTTCTGGCTCCTGGACTCCAGCAGGGTTGGTCTCTGTAACTTATGGAAATGATGGTGTGCCGTAGCCAGCACTAGGCTCTCAAAACACCATGACTTCCATCTTGATCAAACAGTCCCACTTCCCTTTCTCTCTCAGGTATTTTTCTCTGATGGACAGTCACCCCCCCCACACACACCGTATTGGGCCTCCCTATGGAGATAGTCAGGTGGGGTAGAACTAATACTTTTAGCCTGCAGCCAGGGGTAACTGAGGCCTTTGAACAGACCGAGTCAGCTTGAAAGGAGGTCCTAGCAACCCAGGCAAACTTTCAGAAATCGTAGCCCTCATGGTCACATGACCTTCGGAACTGGCCAGGAGGCCAAAGGCTTGCCACAGCTAGCTAAGTCACTTACAGATGCCTGACCCTCATAACTGTCACACAACCCTCAGTAGTTATTAAAACTCCCTTTACGGAGATAATCATTTTTACCTATATGTGTACTGTACAGTAGACAATGGCTATATGATGTGGGATTCCCCTTTGTATGCTATGAATATGTTTTATTGCCATTGGTTAATAAGGAAGCTGCTTTCAGTCAATAGCTTAACAGAGTAAAGCCAGGCAGAAAATTCAACAGAGATGGAGAGAGAGTAGGCAGTGTCAGGGAGACAGCACGTAGTTGCCAGAGAAGAAAGATACTAGCTGGTAGCCAGAACCTTGCCAGTATGCCACGAGCCTCATGGTAAAATATAAAACAGTAGAAATGGGTTAATTTAAGTTATGAGTGCTAGCTAGAAAAATGCTTAAGTGATTGACCAAGCCGTGTTTTAATTAATACAGTTTATGTGTGGTTGTTTTGGGTCTGGATGGCTGGGAAATGAATAAGCAGCCTCCACCAACAGCTATATGTGGCTATTTTAAGTTAAATCAAAGGGAAAGATCCTAACAACCTTTCAGTGGCTATATTTTACATGTGCGGTCATCATGTGGTTGCCAGTTACCACGGTACTGAGCACAAACAGAAAACGGCCATATCACCCCAGAAAGTGCAAATACAGACTTCTACATAAGCCTCATGAAATGCGGTTAGGTTGTATATAGAGTCTGAGCTTAGATGTTCAAGAGAAGGAAATGTCATTCTTCTCCATGCCCGTCATCCACTGAGTATACGTGAACAGCCTCTTTGCTAGACATGACAGTCATTCTTCTCCATGCCCGTCATCCACTGAGTATACGTGAACAGCCTCTTTGCTAGACATGACAGGGCACAATCCTATCTCCCAAGGCAGGAGGATTGTGAGTCTGAGGCAAGATACTGTCTCACACATACACACACACACACACACGCACACACTCACAGAGCGGTCCCTTTCCGCTGTGCTGCAATACACACAGACCTATGCCTGGACAGGAGGCAGACAGAACACACAGGCCCACAGCAAGGCTTCTTGACAAGTTTCTCTAAGCTGAACAAGGGAAATACTGCTTTATCGCCATTCAGCTGGGGCCCCATCTGGTTTTGATTGTTTTCACGTTCCTCGCCCTTCCCCAGGAGTTAAAGAAGAGGGTCAGCACACCAGTTGGCAATGCTGGCAGTGCCCTACAAAGGCACTCGGGGGAAGGCGCCAGGCTAGTTCATCCTTTAGGATGTGCTTGTGTGCCGCCCTCTAAGACCAAAGGCGGAGGGTGGTCCATATTGAAGGCTGTTGAATCCATTTTCAAGGCTGTTGAGAGCTCGTGGTTTGCTTGGGAACCTGAAAACCAGTATGACCGCTCTCCTGTTTTGGTCTCACTATGGTGGCTGGTTTTGTTTTTGAAGTGACAACAGCTTCTTAGGACTATAGTGACATTGTCTTACACAAACAACATAGGTAAAAGGTGCCAAGAATAAGATACCATCGTCTACTCTGACTTTGGCAACCAGCTTATGAGGTAACACTAACACACTTTAGAAGACAGCAGCAAACAGTTTCACAGCCTTAAAAAGGGAGAGATTTAAACATGATACATTGAGCCAGGGAAACTGATCAGGGAGGAAAGGCACTTCCCACCAAGCCTGACAACCTTTGATCTGGGACCCAGGGAGTGGAACTGCTTCTACAAACTGTCCTCTGACCTCCCCACGTGTGTAACGGTGCAAAACCCATCACC